TGCGTTTCTCTACCAGGTTGCACCTCTTCAAATTCCTTCTTGGACTTTGAAACTCTTTTGGCCAGTTTGGGGTAGTCATTAGAAAGACAAATAGTGAAATAGCTGAAGAACAGAAGCAATTGCAGTGATGTGGGCTCCTCCCCAGCCTGCTTTCCCAAGTACCTTGTAAATAAGCAGTGCAACACTGCTCACTGTAAATTAGACCATCACGAAGGCCTTTTAAGGCAAGCAATTTAGTGTACCCTTTACCCTATGATTTTTAAGAATTTCTTGTTAACTAAGGGCTAATTGGTGCTTGCCAATTCACTTTGATCTGTAGCTCTGGAGAATAGAAAAAAACCTAAAAATTGACAACTTGTCCCCACCTCAACCCTCGCTTGGCCCCCCTTCAATGCTTGATGCAGCCTGTGCCAAAAAAAGAGATCTTGTTGAAAAAATTTCATGGCCCCTTGGCATATGAGATCCCAGGCATTTTTCTCACACATCTGATCCAAATTCCAGTCACAACAGAAACACGCAGTAATTGAATTGATTGGTTGTCACCTTTAAAAGGTGACTATATCGCTGTTTATCAGTGTATTTTTATCACACTGGCCAGTATCATGCAGCCCTCTGTGTGGGGAGGTTACTTGATCCTGCAAGAACTGCTCTGAGGTTGGTTGTTGGGTTTTTTTCACCAGCTAATAGCGTTTAGCATTTCACCAGGCCACATTAAACTCAATGTACAAGCAGTTAAGAAAAGTACTGTATCTGGCACTGTTTAATGTCACTGACATGAAATGTGAGCAGCTGTGCCAGCATTCCTGAACTCTGAAAGTACTTTACCTTTCCTCTGTCTTTTGGCAATTAAATACATTTTAATACATTTTGGGGAAATAAATACATTTTAATACAGTGCTATAATGTTAGGAAGGTCAAAGGATTAACTATGTCTTGTCATTTAGATATTAAAAGAAATCATGACCATTATAGTCATAGAGGTACCTACCTGCCTTTTATCTCTGGCTTCACCAGGCTGAGAATTTACAGTGCTCTGTGAGTGGCAGAGCTGCGTCACAATTTAATGAAAATGCTCTCCCCAGTTTTTCAGTATGTATGCACAGTCACCGGAGGACATTCTCATTAGACATCGTTGGGCTCAGCTTTAATCTTTGAAGAAGCAAGGCCAAAACTCTGATTAATATCAACAGGCACCAAAAGCCTCTATTTCAATGAACTTTTTTTTTAAAAAAAAGAACCTTCATATTTGCTATGTATGTCAAGAATGTGGATGTTTTTCCTTTCTCTGCTTGTTTTTATATTAAAAAAAAAAAAGACGATAACAGAATAACTTTTTTTCTGCTGATTTTGATTTTATACACCTGAGAAGAAAAGGAGCATTTGCCTTCCAGCACAATTAAGTGATCCCTTTCAACAGATGAATCTTTGCATGAATATGGCCTCACTGGCCTTCGCGTATCAGCTGGACAGCTGCCGAGGCTGGTGGGCTTCTGCTAGAGGGTAACTTGTTCCTCCTGGCCACTAATCAAAAATTCAGTTAATTCTAGGGCACCCATCACAGACAACAGTGCAGGGATTTCCAAGTGTGTGGGAAGATCCTGGGAAAGAAATACCAGGAACAAGATCTGCGTAGGAGCAAGAAAAATCCATCACTATCCATTTGCCTGTTGTTTGATTGGAATTTTCTTTTGATGCATTAAAATATCCCTCAGCGAGATCCTCAGGCTATGTAAAACCAGCCTGACTCCACCAATTTTGTAGTTTTCTGGGTGATTTATACCTGGTGAAGAGCTTTACTAGCTTGCATGGAAAAGAAAGGAAGACAGTTATATGAGGGGGGCTGAGGAAACATTTTTCATGGTCAAGATAATACAAGAACAATGGGATCCCCCAACGCAGAGAATGGAGCCAAAGAGGCCATGGACCATGGAGTCAGAACAGATGCCAAAATGGAAATCTCCCTTTCCAATGGTAGTTATAGCATCCTGGCAACCAGCTATAGGTGGATTCAGTTTTGAACCAGGCAACAGGTGTGTCCTGTATCTCTCTCTTTTTTTTTTCAATATAGTGATGTGTAAATCAAGTCAAATTAAAGCAAATACCACACATGCTCACATCAAGGCAGTACCAGCAGATTCCTTTCCAATTTACGCAGAGAAAAAAAAAAATTCATTGCCAGAGGCAGCTGTGTATAGTCACTCGTAACCACATGCCTTCCTTGAAATTGGAGGGATCGCAGTTTATGAGGTCCAGAATCCCATGTGATGGTTGATTTCCAGTTTTGCAGTACAAGAGAAAAACATTTTGAAATTACAAGATTGTCAAGATGCAATTGAGCTCTAGAGACACGTATTCCTGAAGATTCCTGGGAAGAGTACAGTAAATTTTGTAAATACCCTTTTTCGGCATTTATTTGTTAAGTTTTAAAGGAAAAGGGTACTTTAACAGCTTAGAAATTATCAGGACAACTATTTAACTGTCCTCCAAATCATCCAAAATCGAAGGACCAAATCTTGTGAAAGGGCAAAATTTCATAATCAGACCTTGGAAGCTACAGGACTTTTTAGGCTTCCAGACACCCACCTACTTAATGACTTCCATTTATTTCTGACTTGAAGAAGAACTAGTAACAGTCTGTGTGTGAGTGTATGACTTAAACACTCAGAAGGGAAAATGGTATCTGGATTTCTCTTACCACAGTAAGCACTGGAGGTGAGACAAAATGTCTCTGATTATCCCTTTAGGCATTTGACTGTCAACATAACAAAGAGGAAAACACTAAAAAAAAAAAAAAAAAGGGAAACGCTGCTTTCGTGTGAACTCTGCACAAAATACAAAATACATTGTGGAGTTAATAGCCCGATATTTAGCTGATTTAAACCAGCATTGTTACGTTACAATCAAAGAACCTCTGCCAATTTACTGTAGCTAAGGATGTGATTAGCTATTTCCATTGCCCGGAAAAGCACAGAAAAAAAGATTTTTTAGAAGTTCTTGAACAAAACCGAGCAATATTTTACTATACCTTATGTATGTGATTCTTAGATATGGGAAGAAAAGAGCCCTTAACAAAGTAAAACCAGCAAATTTATTTGTGAATGTTATCTGACCATGCTAAATAGTTTCCATTAGTAAACAAAGTTCAGTTCAATACCAGATTATCCATTTTTTGTGAAGCTGAATTCAAATTGCTGCTTTTCTCATTAAAAAGGGATGTTCCCCTTAGATTAAAAGGAAGGTGGACTATATCAAAACCTCTTCCAATCCAGTTTCAATTCTTCCCCTACGGTGTCCCTATTCTCAATTCAGACTTATTTCTATATTTATTTAAGAAGTCACTCTTCCAGGATCTCATGATGTCTTTAGCACATGGACGGAGTATGGAGTTTGGTGCCAGGAATGCAGTGGAAGAAATGAAAAAAAAAAAAAAAGAAAGAAAAAAAAAAGGGAAGATCTGAAAAATAGAACACAAAAAACACAGAGAAAACAAGCAAACAAATGAACCAAAACACACTGGGCTTCAAAAAGGAGCAACCACAGTGGGGTTCCGCTGCAATTTGATTATGTAATAACCTCTTTTCTTCCCCCAGAAGGTAGCGCAGTGCCGTCAAGTTCAAATGTAATACAGAGGATGTTGTTTGTTAGAATGGAAACAAAGTGACAAGCTAGTTATAATGCCAGGCCTGTTTCCGATACTTGGGGAGAAATACGGGCGTTATGTGTTGAGTGTCAATTTGAGTTAGTTTTATTTAGGTCCAGGAACAGAAGGGCTTTGCCTCGCTCCCAGGGCACGCACAACAAAGGTTAGACCCTTCCCATACGCCGAGTTTACTTTAGCTGTAAATTATATGCTGCAAGAGCGAAGCATGGCATTTCTTCTGTGAGTGAAGTACTGCCAAATTGGTCTGTAGAGAAGAAATGGCTCTTCTTTAATCTTTTCCTTAGTATTTGTCACGGATCAAATTCTTCCACCTTCTCGCAGCGCGCGGTGCCTTACCCTTAAGAGCAGCCCTACTGCTGGATATGGTATTACTAAATTTGAGGAAGGTTTGTCAACTCTCTCCGTGTTCTAATCTTGGGGGTGGGACCGAATCAAAAGTTTTGCACGGATTTTTACTTGTGTTTTCTCCATAGGGAAAGGTGCTTTGGATGGCAACTGGAGTCAGAGACAGGGATCCGTACCTACCCACAGAACTAGACTGAGAAGTCTGGCAAGTTTCTGGTACTTGACATACAGCATACGGGTTTGTATGGATCGATGTTTAATTAACAGTACCATGGGCCTTTCTGAATCAAATTACAAAAGACTATTCAGCCATAGTTTGTCTCTCAACCAGTCTTGGAATAGGCTTGTTTCATAACTGAAGAACTGTGCCAATTTCAGCTTACTTCTGCTAACACACTGGGATTGTCATGATCATGCAGTGTAATAGAAAGGCATATTGGTAATTCGGAATACAAGGGAACAGAAGTGAGTTTTGCAACAGTTACTCTACCCATGATTTAAAATAGAGATGAACAAAGAGTTAATGACTAATGATTCTGTTCAAAATCAATCAGATCAACCACCAATTTGTACATAATTGATTTTCTACTAAAATAATGGTACAAGACAGCTTTCTGCAAGTGGAGAGTCCAGTATACAGATTTTTAAGGTTCTGCTTCTTTTCACTTACATTATGTCCTTCTGGGGACAAACGTTTAGGCAATTACTGTAATTATGATAAGAACTCCATTTCCCATATGAAGTACAGAAAATGAGTAGCCACACAGGACTGTATAATTACATTTACCCCCCCACCCCCCCCAAGAAAATCTTTCACTCAGACAGTATGAGATTGTTTATTTGATACATCAGTGTTAAAATCATACAAACACACATGGAAGAAAATTAGGAATTAAATTATGTCTTCTCTTTGAGTCCCGTTAGGGGAGCTAAAGGGAGCAAAGAGAGGACAAAGTAATGTGAACTCAGTGTGAAGGAATGTAGCTAATGTTCCTTATCTGACCTCATGCTGAGCCACAGCACCAGTGCGGAGCAGTTCTTCTATGGCATCATCCTCATAACCCAGCATGCCCTTCAGTATCTCCACTGTATGCTGTCCAACAAGCGGAGGTGGTTTGGGATGTGACACAGCAAATTCACTGTATCTGACACCTGGTCCTGTAAAAAGAGCAGACAGGAGGGAACTATTTTCAAAAGCTACTGACCATATTTATATTTAAGTCTCTATGTTAGTTTAAAGGAAAGTATCTCATTTTCACAGCAGTCATCACAGAAATGTTATATTTTGGAATTACAGACTAAAAATATTCCAGTTCAGAATAATGTACCAATAAGTAGAATTGCTGAATATTCATCCAAAATTAAGAGAGTCTTCCCCTTGTTCCCAGCGGTATGTACACTGGGGTGCTCTGAGACATACTACTTCATACTTGTACCACTCTCTGCTAGCTGAACATCAATGCCCAAACGATGCCCAGCCCACACAATGGGATATGGTGCAGAAATCCCCATACTCTGTCTACAACAGGAGGCAGCACAACCATAAGAACACAGTGAAATGTCAGGTTAACACACTTTTACTGGTGTCGGAGCAGTGCACTGGATGATGGGAAGCACCATCTCCAGTAAGATACAGCTCAAGTACCTCCACAGCGTGCCCCATTACCTTGTGGTAATATGGAACTGACATCATGCACAGCAAAGATATGTCCAGCTTGTTTTATGTTTTCTATCAAAAATATAGATAGCAGCAGCTGTAACAAACTCAACAATGGTTTATTTACTCTGGCAAGAATAATTTCAAAGGAAATCACTTAGGGAAGCTGGCAACAATATGAAGACTTTTGTGTTTATTGCAGGTAGTCAGATCTCACCTTTCAGCAATCCTCTGTAGTGAACTGAACAGAGATTTTGTATAGTTGCTTGCAGACTAGTAGCTACACCATTACTGTCAGTCTCAGAAGAGAGAATGAGCCACAAATTTACTCTGAGATCAAAAATGAGGCATAGAAAGACTGTTTCATAGAGAAATAGAGGACAATAATTTTGCAAATTGTCAGTTGAAAACTGTAATACAAGATTCAAGAACCTTTGATGCTTTGGACAATTGGCAAAATGATTCCTCTATTCATATTTATGGTCCCTATTATATCATCAAAAAGAATTTACAGAAAAGGCTGTACATAGTTATGTCTCTGCCTATGACACTACAGTTTTACTTAGAAATGCAAAGAAATACATAGGTCATCTTAATAGGCAGAACTGTGTTATTTCTGTGGCTTATTTCTGAAGGAATAGGATGTCAACCAGCAAGGGAAATGAACCACAGCAAGAATTCATCCTACAAGGGCATGAATAGGAAGTTCACTATTTGAGTTACTACTTATTTGAGAAGAGATGCTGACAAAGGTCTTGCAGCATGCCAAAATAGGCCGTTTTTTCAAAAGTCTTCATCCACTGTGATCAAATTGTTAATACAGTAAAGGTATCCACCTCCAAGTGTGACAAAATAAGATAAAGAATGCTTAGAAAAAGAGGTTTTTTCAAGCTGATTTGATACGTTCCTGATGAGTATGCTCCTGGAAGAGCTCAGGTATGGTTCCTGTGTTTAAAAAGGAAACGAGGCTGAACTGGGAAATTATGGACCAAATTACTTAACTTCAAGTTCCATTAAATACCGGGGCAAGTAACCACACTGAAAGTTTACTAAGGAGATGAGTAACAACACCCAGCATGTCTCTATTGAGAACAAATAGTATATGCTTGATCTCTTGTCTTTCTACCAGGAGAAGGGATGAAGGTGAGATACATCTCGTCTAACTTTAGATGCTAATAGCCTAAATTTAGATGTTTAGTTGCGTAGACTCCCTTTGGAGTCACTGCAGATGAAAAGACACGCTTACAGTGTAGTTCTTCTAAGACACTGGCAAATGACTAAACCTGGCCAGAGGAATTGTGATCACCTATGTGTCTCCATAAAGCAGAGGATAGACAAGTACCTTAGATGCAGACCTCCACCACCCAGACATCAAAAGTCAGGTGAGATGACACTCTGACCACTAGGATGCCACATCAAGATTTGACTTTTCAAATTCTCTGCTATTTTCCACAAACTCACTAAAGAAACATGGAGTAAGTAAATCTGAAGTCAGGTCCAACACTACTGAGAGGGAAATCACATTCAGAGAATTGCTACCTGGGATGATCTAAAACAGAATAATGTTTCGAGTGAGCTCCAGAGCAATCTGTTCAGGATGAAGCACGAATCAGTATATTTTTAGTGGGCTGGCTGATGAAACTCAGATCATACCTGTTCAGGTTTCTGAGGACTTCAAGCTAAAAATGACTGTGAAGCAGATTTCACAATGACCTGGCTATGCTGGAGAAATGGTCTGGTAAAACAGGGTGAAATTCAACAATGTCAAGGGGAAGGAACTACATTTAATTAGATAAATACAGGGCAGGGAACAAATAGCAAGGTAGGAATAGCTAGGGGTTATTCTAGATCACAAAGTGAAGATGAGTCAACAACATCATGCTGTTGCGAAAAAGGCAAGCGTCATACAGAGATGTACAAACAAGAGAGAAGCCTGCAGGACTCATGAAATAATCTTTTTGCTCTAGTTAGAGCTGACAGGTCACAGCTGGAGCAGTGTCTGGTGTGAGGCCCCCACTGCACAGCCATCTGGAACACCTGAAAAGGTTCTACAGGACAGCAACTGAAATGATCAGAGGAAACATGACAAACTCAACAAAGTGGGATCATGGACCTAAAGAGAAGGGCCAGGGAAAAACGCCTTCAAAACTGTCTTTGAAAAATGTAAAAAACAACCACCAACAACAAAAGAATCTCCAACGCCCCCAAAAATCCATGTAACCTTCTGCAAGGAGGGAGTAAATCCTTTTTCATGTACATGATGACTGAGAAATATTTAATTAAATTGCTACAAAGGAAACTGAATTCAGGTACTAGAAAATAAACTTTTATAACGTTAGGGGTAGCAAAATACTGAATGAGGCCATGCGAGGAGGCTGCGGAGCTCTTATCAATCAGGTCTTTAGGAATAAGAATTATTCTAGCATAGCTGATCCTAATGCTGATCCCTGGGGCTTGCTGATAGATTAGATGACCTCTCACAGTCCCTTTCACCCACTAATATTCATGAAAGCTAAGAAACAGCTCACATCAGGGATAACTTTTCTATTAACTTATTCTTTTAATTCTACTCATTTTGAACACAGAATCACAGATGTTAGGGGTTGGAAGGGACCTCTGGAAATCATCCAGTCCAACCCCCCTGCCAGAGCAGGGTCACCTACAGCAGGTTGCACAGGATGGCGTCCAGGCAGGTTTTGAATGTCTCCAGTGTGGGAGACTCCACAACCTCTCTGGACAGCCTGTGCCAGTGCTCTGCCACCCTCAAAGCAAAGCATGTTAAGATGGAACTTCCTATGTTCAAGTTTGTACCCGTTACCTCTTGTCCTATCACTGGGCACCACTGAAAAAAGAATCGTCCCATCTTCCTGGCACCCTCCCTTTAAGTATTTATAATGATTGATAAGATCACCCCTCAGTCTTCTCTTTTCCAGACTAAAAAGACCCAAGTCCTTCAGCCTTTCCTCATAAGAAAGATGTTCCAGTCTTCTAATCATCTTCATAGCCCTCACTTCAATTTTCAGAGGAAGTCTCAAGTGAGAGATCAGTACACTTTAAAGGGACAGGTGACATCACTAGGCAATATTTGTATTAATTCCTCTTCCAAGGACTGTCTGAGGGCTAAACTGGCACTAGTGCAAGCCACAGGAATGATCTATCTGTGCCAACTGAAATGCTTCTGAAGATAATTTCAGAGCAAAAATGCCCCTTAGAGATTTATTAGTCTAGAAATTCAACATAGCCACAAAACTATTAGGCAACTCCTATTTAAAATATAATAATATATAGATACAAAGCAATCTTATTTCAGGTGTGTGTATCTGAGAACTCTTTACACCGAGAAATCAGCAAACCCTCAAAGGAACTAGTTTAGTAGCTGTACACTTTTCACTTGCTTGTTCAAATTTTTGCTAGGTTAAAAATTGCATATCTCAAACCCTGGGATCTTCTGCAGTGATATCGAAAGACACAGAATAAAACCTCTAATGAGAGAAAAACAAAATTGACATTAAGTGCACAACAGGCATAGAATGTTTCACACTTCCCAAAGAAATTAATCTTACAAACTAGAGCATGCTAGAAAATTGCACAGCAATTATAAAACCAGTGTCTTCCTTGAGCTTTTATTGTTTGATGCATAATTCATCATGCTACTTTTCACTTTGATAGAGTTATAAAGTTATCTACATTCATTCAAAGGAGCTACTTGCTAATGATCCATCATTAACGATTCTCTGTTCTTTCCTTGTGTAACTTCTACTTGGCTTCTGTGTCAATTAGGAGGGTGCAAAGCTTGCCAGTCAGGCTTCAGCAATCCCACGCTCCTACTGAACAGAACAAGGCTCCCAGAGAGCAACCAGCAGAATGCTATGCAAATGCTAATTAAACACAACTGCCTTATGAGGAAACCATCCCTTGAGGCAGAGAGAGGTGAACTGCTTTAATTAAGGTCAGAGGCATTTGCATGTGGGTGAGTTACAGGGAGCCTTGCAGATGAGAACGGGCCTTTGCTGGGGTAGAAGCAGGGTTGCTGGTTGGAGGAGGTACGGCAGCAGTCACCTGTGTACCCTGGCCGCAAGCAGGACACTATACTCTACGCAGCCATGAAGTTAAAGGGACACATATGGTCACCTGAAAAAAAGCAATGAAGGAACGAGTGGTAACTGTGAATTACCTTTGTCCTGTTAAATTAAAAGGAGCCTGTTTCTCTTTTTGCTTTGATTACTGTTGCCAGTAAACCAAAGAGCTCTTTCACTACATTTCAGTTATAGGCTTATCTTCTTTTATTATTATTATCATTTTTACTTTGGCACATTGCTAAAAAACATACTGTGCACACCATGTAAAGTACAAGAGTTAATAGCGTAACAATAAATCAAAATTTGTACCCAATAAATCCAAATTTGTACCAGGTGCAACCACAATGACAACTGTACCAAGATATCTTGAAGACTTCCCCGGTACTTGAACTCAACATCATCATCATCATAAATTCTGTTTC